TAAAATGTAGAAAGTTTGAAATATCAAAAGCCTATCGCGTGCCAAAGTGCTGGCAAAAATTGGAGTACTTATTGCATATCGTTTTGACCAATACATGTGCATTTTTTGGCTTCTTCATGTGCGACATCAAGATGCATAATGCAATATAAGCTTTCATTTCATCAGAACTTACAGGAAACTATTTTTTTTACACAACCTTCATTTTCTATCCCTTGTCTGGTATATCTATTCGTCTCTTCTACTATAGTGTCCCAAAAATCTTCATTCAAGACTTCTTTCAAAACATTTAAAGGCGTAGGATTACTACCTAGTCTACGCAAGCTCAAAGGATTAATTCCAGATATTTCAGAAAAACTTTTTATATCGGCTACATTTTCTTCTTCTTCCCAAATCCATTCCTCTGATACTGGTTCACGAGAAGATTCACTATCACTGCTCGATAGACGTCTTGTGCGTCTTCGAAACCTTGATATTATATTACAATTGTCATCATTTTCTAGTTCGATATCGTCTTCATCACCTTCGCTTTGTATTTCATTGTAATTGTCAATTTCAGGATCACTAAACAATTCTTCTTTAGATTTCTCAAAGTCACTTTCGCTATCACTATCATAAAATATATTCCTTGTTTTTGACATAATGGGGCAGTGTATAGCAAATAATGTTCACCGAAAATACTGTAATTGCCTCTTCTATTATGACTGATACAAGCTACAATGAAATGAACAGAATTGTGCATAACCTCAAATAATGTTTTAGACATGTCATCCGCTCCTAGGGAAAACAAGTGAATGTCGTCTCTCAGACGTCAAATGTACCCAAGAATTTTTGGTTTGACGTCTTAGACACGTCAACCGCTCCTAGGGGAAAAAGTGACGTATCTCAGACGTCAAATGTACCCAAGGGGTTAAACAACAAGTAAAGACAAACATTTGAACCAAGCCTGTGCTATAGATATTCATTTATCTTATACAATGCAAAGGTCTAGAGGTGGAATTAATGGCATACAATCTTAAGATAGGTTACAACACGCCAAACGCATGGCACAACCTAGTCTTACTATAATGAAAAGGAAACAAAACCACAACAGGGAATGCTTAATTGACTAAGCAAACCGAAATGGATTTGATTTTAGTAAAGCACCACTGGGGCTGTCTATCCCCTGGGGAAAAACTTTTGAGAGGACGTTCCATGGGAAAAATTACCTGTATTCACAAGCATGAAGAAAATTACAGAAACCTTTAATGTCCGTTGAACTGCCTAAAATACTAAACCCGGGGACGAGCTACCGTCGTTTCAAGAATTCAAACATTCGGCCATTGGTCAACCGCAAAATAAAGTAAAATGGTAAAAAAAACTTTAATAAATGTTAGCAGTAGTAAATGTTTCTAAAATATATTAAAGGAAAAGGTATTGAAAATAATTTAAGTACTTGAAAATGAAGCACCATGCGATGCCATTTTTCTAGACAAAGGGGGCGGAGCTATTCCTAACAGCCCAAGTATGGGGTGAGGTGATATATTCGACAATTAAAAATACACGAATTCACATAACCTCCTTATGGAGAAGTATATTTAATGACACTCGCATATACCGTTTGAAATAACGAGTAACTTTAGTTTCTTAAATATTTATGAATTTTTACTCCGCTTCGTATTTATATTATTGATAAACCAGCTGGTGTAGATTCATTACCGTTTTTCGGTGAATAATCTTAAATTCCTTCCTTGCAATAAGAACCGTATCGAGTTAATTGCAGATGAAACATTACTCTATTTAAATAGAATTTTTAAGAAGCTTGAGAATTTCGTCTTGCAGTACAGCAAGGTCCAAATTGGTTGCTTATAATCATTATTTACTTTTCAATTAACTTTTTTATAAGAAACATTAAGTCAATTTAAGCTACAATCTTAGTTATCAGTCTTTGTCAGCATAAAAACAAGATTTCTCAGAATAAAAGTACGAAATTAGACTGCTCTTCAAATCAGCAATTTCAATAGACAATTTTAAGCTTCATTGGAATTAAATTATCAGTATGATGCTTTTTTTAAAAAAAACATTTCAGAATACCAGAAACCCTGCCTCTCAATAAAATTACTTTGGACTAGAACAGGGCTACCTATAATTCTGCTTGTTATATAGAACAAATTTAATATTTTAGAGCAAAATTTTTCATAAAACTCAAAAAATGGAATTAAGATACGTTTTATTAGATATTAAGCTTTCACCACGGCCTAATAGAAATTTTTTATAATGGCAAATAAACTGTTCAAATTCTCAAAATCGAGTGTTCCCCAAGTATGCGCCCAATTTTCTACCTGAAGAAATAATTACCAAAATACCCTTTTTGTCTTTAAGTAACATGTCCCCTCAAAAACAGTTCTCAAAAATAATTTCAAAGCGGTTCTGCAACTTTAACCTTCAAAGGCTTCTTTGTGAATTTTGAAGTTAATCGAGAACAGGCGAAGATTAAAGTTCTTACAAATTTGTTTTTAGTGTTCTATTTAAAAATATCCTTCGGTAGAAGTACTCATCCGACGATTTGCAATCAGCTTTGATTAATGTATATTGACGAAAGTGAAAGTTATTTCATAAAAGTTGCCATCTTGTACTTTTTCCAGTTATGTTACTACGCAATTAGCGACTTCGAATGCTTCCAAAAACAAATGGTAATTTTAGATTACCTAAATAAACTTCTAAAGCCAATTTTCTGAACTATCCAGGCTACTTGCTCTTCCCCCAAAACTTATTTTCTATAATCAAATTAAACTGATAAGGTAACAATTTAATCCGGCAAATTGCTCGAATATGCCCTGCTTTTCAGAAAATGCGGAGTTCCCTTGGAACCACAGCGCATAAACCGCCAACGGGAATCAAACATGGGTCTCATCCACTGGCTGTCCCCTAGACCTTCTGTTCATTTTATTAATCTTAATTTTTTCTGAAAGCAAGCCGTACGGGTGTCCAGATTGTGCTCTCAACTGCCAACTGAATAGCCACATCATTTTTTGCGTCTAACTTAGAAAAATGTCGACTAAACATTTTTGAATCGCAGAGGGTTATATTTCATATTATTGCCACTTCTGACAATGAGGAAATATCGCCAATACTCCAAGAACTGCAGCGCCAATATATCTCTGCCGTCGCCATGCCCGTAGGTGTCTGGTAAAAAGGCCATCGTCCTTAAAGTTTCTACCAATATGATTCCCGACGTGCTGTAGGTCGCAGGGTGCTGCAGAACTTCTTCAAGCATATCGTAAGAAACAGGAAGCCAGTTTTGTTTTTTCATTTTACCAATGCCAGCTCGGAGAAGTGTACCGTTACACAAATGCGCTCCGCAAGAGTAGACTACTATGGGATATTATTTAAATGTTACTTTTAACTATAATGGACACGGTGCACTATTCTTTCTCAAACTCGGATGAAGAAATTGTGCTAGGACTAAACCGAACTTATTTTATAAATGAAAACTAGTTTAATTTTCTAGTGATCTTGAAACCACCATTTTAAGGCCTAGAAACTAACATCTTACTCCAAAGCTAAGCTTTCAACAGCATGAATATAACTAAATGTGGCTAATATTGCAATAGCTTACAATAAACACAATGTACTGAAATATGTCAGTAGTAATTTTCTAAGGGAAGCAGATTCACCTTTAGTGACGTAGTTTACTTGGGACATTATTGCTAAACAGTTCGGTTTTCTGTTATGCAACATTAATTACTAGTGCAGAACTGCCTTAAGGCGGTTTAGAATTTTATGCGACACAAGAAACCTCTCACATTAAGATACTTTCTCCACGTACTGTTGCAAACAAATGCTGGAAAAATTGGGAAATCTACGAAAGCGTAACTATTGACAAATATTTATAATAAATTTGAGAAAAAGACTGCTATTTGCAAACGCGACAGCAGTTTTACGCCTAAACGCGACAGCAGTTTTGAGATCGTTAATAAAATTTAAGAATTTCCTTGAAGAAGAACATTCTCAAAGTACTTTAGATAACCTGGTTAATTTAAGGAGCCGTTCATTCTTGTGTAATGTATTTAAAAGTACCAATTTCTTTTTAACAACTAAAAACTGAATAAATTTAATTGATTAAGGTTAGGGAAAGTTTAGGCTTTAAAACATTTATGTACGATACAGCAAAATTTAGTCGTTAGCGAGTTAAATGCAATACTAAGTTAATATAAGTTTATAGATTTGAATTTATTTAGACATCATTTACTATTAAGAGTAGCAAATAGCAAAACAGTTATGATGACAGCAAAGATCGCTCAAATACCAAACTAAACCTGAAGAGAAGGCAGTTTTCCCATCGCTGACAGCAATTTGGCGGGGAAGCCCAGGCATAAGAAATGGAATAAAAATATGGGAAGCATGGAAGAATGAAATTTACCAATATTGTCGTCAATAACTTAAGCTGTAATTGATCAGTTTTAGGCAAGTTATGATTTTTAAATTTTATTTTACACAATACTATTAAATAAAACGAGTTAAAATGAAAAATTTATAAACCTGGAACATTAATCATCTGGTTACTTTTCTTTACAATTCTTTAAAGAAAATTCGCCAGAATGAGAGTCTGTTGAACACTGAACAAAACTAATAAACTCGTAAACATAAGAGATTTGATTAATACAAAATTTTAAGCACCATATATTAATATTTATTTATTACTTCGTAATTAATTAGTTCCTCCATTATCTGTAACAGAAATGTATGTATGTAAATTAATATGACATAATTTTTTCCTTCGAAAGGGGGTGTTAACACATTACAGGTTAAAAAATATGCTTTAAATTAAAATCTCCCATACGATTTGCCAGTTAAGGCCATTTTGAGATTTCCGAATACGGAATTAGAATATTCATGAAATTTCATAATGAAAGAAAATTTTTTGAAATAATTAAATGTAAAATCACGGAAAAGCTGTATTATCGATAAAATAATCAAAAATTAAAATTCAAAATATCAATATTAAAACATGAGAAACTTACCTCCTGAAGCCATGAGATTTTTATACCATTCTACTGGAGACCACACAAAAGCCATGGTGACTGAAAACAAACAATGAGAAAAAAATTAAAAACTATCTAAAAATATACTCCGCGAAAGTAGGCAAACACTGCCCTGACAACGAACGTATCCGAAGTGCAACTGCCACGAGAACAAGGGCCGATCTTTACGTTTAAATACAAGGCACTCTTGCGTGGCTGACGTCAAGGCGACTGTGGCGCCTCAGATGGGTTGCCAGTTTAAAAGATATATTTTAGCGCCAAATAATCGTCGCCAACTTCGTAAAGAAAGTAAGAAGTAAATTTTATTTATTTTACGTACGATTATTTTCTAGTATCATTTGCCAAGGGTAATATTTTTTCTCTCATATTTCTTATTAATTATAAGATTTTCGCATTTTACATTAAAAAAGAAACATTTCTACAACTATCAGCTTTTTTCCTTTTTATAACTGAATTTAGTATAAAATTTGATTAAATTAAAATTTTTCGATACTTATTTGCATGATTATTCTGCTTAACTAATTCCTCATTTTAAATATTTATTATACTTAGCTTATAGAGTCGTTCATTCTGCGTGATTTGTTCTAACTAGAGTTTTAAGTAATTATCAGGAAAATAGCAAGATTAGCAATTTTTTATGTTAACGGTCTTTAAATACCCGTTTCAGAACAATCAGCTTATACATTCATGTTGTATTTCCATTGCTTTACAAATTACGTACAAAAAATGAGATGTTTTAAATTTTTACAATGATGATTTGCACGATCATGATTCGTTCGATAGTAGTAAAATGTGTAAAACTAGCCAACCTGCAATTGAAATCTAATTTTATTTTGATTTTTATCTGATAATTTCTCAGAACTGTCCTTTAAACATAATCCTTATGCTACCTACATTCACGCATTTTAATGCTCTCACCATCTTCCTTTCTTAAAATTAAGTCATTTCAAAACAAAATGAATTTTTTTATAGTTATTTACTGATAGTTTAACAAATTTTTAAACACAGAAATTAAATATTTCTTATTTCTTATGTGTAATCTCAAAATTGCACGTTTTGTAAGCGATGGCGAAGGAATGTTAAGACAGATCCCGTAAAACCGTATGGCACCACATGGAAATATGTTAAGAAATAGGGAACTATATCAAAATTAAGACATTAAGACATAGAAGCAAATAAAAAAATACCGAAAATTTGAGCCAAATTAAATAGTCATTGCGCATTTTTAAAGCAAGAAAAGCTGCATACAGTTTGCTAAATATAACTAGTATGATACGGATTCCAAGGATTCGAGTACTTTTTTCCTGAAGGTTAGCTCTGGAGTGGCTGACTAGATTAACTAGATCAAACCTCTGAACACTGATAGTTTGACATGGGTTCGAATTGCGGCAAACTGTTTATTTATATGAGGTTTCGAGATCATTCTCTTGTGCAATGTTAAATACCAGCCAGTTTGTCTTAGAAAGATTTTCATGAAAGTATTTTTCTCCTTAAGCAAACTGGGGTCGTGTATTTCGCCTCTAATATTTAGTAGTCATTATTTAAAATTAGATTTAACATTAATAATCATTTTCATTTAGTAGTAATTATTATTTTTATAAATATTGACAAATAAGCTTTCGTCTCTCGAATTCATTATTTTTGTTGAACATCTGGGTAAAATCCTAGTATACGGTGCAGCCTTGGCGCGATTTTGAAAATTATCGCCAACACTAAAAATGACCCAAAGAACGTCTATGTATATACTATATATACTATCACTATATACATAGTATATAATATGTATAACTATATATATTCTTTGAATGACCCGTTTACTACTCATCGTATATGTCCTGTTTTTACTGCTCATCATAAAAGTCGCCAATCCCGTGTGCACCGGATACTAGGATTAAACCAAACTCTGGAGCTCATTTTACTTTAAAATAATATTACCACTAATTATTTCTATTAATAACACACAACTGAAAATTAATTAACAAATATACGATACTGCTTATGAGCTTTTAAAATCGCACCATGCATATTATTGTCAAATTCTTCCTGGTACAAATTTAAAATTCATTCTTTGAATAAGGGGCCTGCAAAGTAAACAAACAAATAGTTGATAACAATGTTGTATCTTGAGATACAGCAAAAACGTAGTTTCCCATTTAACAAAATATAAGAGATAAACGCTAAGAAATTCTGTGATATTAGAAAGAAAGAAAAATGATGAAAAAGCAATTAGAGTCACTTTTAAGAACGGGCGGTTACTGCTTTCGATCAATCAATGGTCATTCATATCGGCATAACATAAAGATTGCAGGTAAAAACCCAGATTTATGTGATAAATTTCTAGTAGCATTTCGGCGACTTCATCAAAGAAGTTAGTTAACAGATACTATAGCTATTTAATGCGAAGAAAGCGGAATTTTTTGCAGAATATTGCCAAATGGAATGTTATCTCAGAAAATGATAACAGTAAGCCTGGTCATAGAGATAAAGATTCTTAAAAGCAGGTAGCGTAACTCTAACTCAAGAGATAACATGTCGGTGACTGCAAAAGTGAACATCTTCTGGTTTATCACATTAACAACACTAAAAATATAATACTCATTTAAATTAGCAAAGCATTTTTCAATACAAATCGGTAATTATGCTAGGTTTAGTTGTCAAATATTCTACCCATATTTTTTCAAGTACGCGAATGACATTCTCTAATATTTTAAATTATATATGATAAATAAACTAATAGTTTAACTAACTGATAGTTTTTTAACACATAATTTAATTTTTAATTACTTACTTCCTCCTAAGTAATTAAAACTAATTTAATCAATATATAAATGCGCCCATTCATGTGAAATCTTAGCTACAAGAAATCTTTTAGAACTATTTTAATATTAGCTATTATTTATGCTACTGCAGAAGTATTTTAATTTTCACAGAGGAAAATGTACTCCTGTAAACTACAGTATCTTACTGTTCACTGGCGGCTCAGCAATACAGTCGCTGAATTGTGATAGTTTGGTCCGCGCTCCAAATCCCGCGAAAGGGCTGACTGCATGCCTGTTTTTGTGGTTTTCCCCATGCGTAACGTGTATACAAGCCAGTTTCCTTTAGAACGTCCTCCACGATGGTATCCTGCCCCTCAGGCAGATAGCCCTCGAGTGCTTTGCCATAATAAAATAAACCAAACTAAACACTATCTTTCTATTAATACTGTCATTTCAAAATGCAGAAAGCAGCCAGCCTTAACCCCAGAATATTAAAAGTATGAAAAAAAAGCACCTTGCACTTGTTACTAAATTGGAGCAAATTCTACAATAAATTACCAACTGTTAACTTAGTACATTAGAATGAAACTGGCTGTCATACACGTTACACGTGGGGAAAACCACGAAATCGCCTATGCAGCTCACCCGTTTTCTGGGTTTCGAGCCTCGGTCGAAACTAGCAGTGCTCAGCGACTTCACCACTTGGCGCTGGTGGGCCTGTACACCAAAGGCACATTTTCATGAGAACCTTAAACAATTCTACATGGAAACCTTGTGTTGAAGAACTTAACCTGATGATGATGAAAATGGTTTTATGAACTGGTAAATTCTATTTTTCTAGGTTTAATTTTCTCTTATGCGCAAATTTTTAGTTCTGAGTCATGTTACTTGCATTACTTCCATCTCCAATTATGTAAACCCACCAGCGGCCGAGAGATAAGGTGACTGGACACCGACAGTTCGGCATAGGTTCGATTCCAGGCGAACAGGTTGCCTGCAAGTGCGTTGCGTGGTTTTCCCCATATGTAACCTGGATACGAACCTGTTTCTATGAGAGAGTCGCCCACGAAGGCTGTCCTTTCCCTAAGGTTGACAGTCCTCGCACGCTTTGCATAATCAAGTAAAGACATTAAAACCAACTATGCAAAAGTTTTTCCCAGTATCTGCGAGACTGTATTTCTATTTTGTTTAATAAAACCAATATCTTTTCTTCTTTGAGAAGGATACTAAATTACACTGTACACAGTTTTAAAATACATATCAATCATTTTACAACAAAAAATCAGGAAATAAACACCTGTAAATAAAGGTAATAAAACGAGAATTCTGTGTCTTTCAGGTCTCATCAGAGGCAGAGCGCTAAATCCCTGAACACCTGAATCCTTGAACAACTCGTGTTCAAATCTCGGCGAAATAGCTGGCCAGATGGAGGTTTGCGAGTCAGTTTGACTAAGATTAATCAGTGTTTAGTCTTTTGGCTTAATATTAAGAAGAATTGTTTTGTAAGGTATAAAGGGGATAATTCCAAATCATTCTTTCATAAAAAAATTTCAGTATAAGTAACACGTTTGGTAGATTGCTTAGATTTAAAAAATTACTTTTTTTAAGAATCAAATGTAAAGTTGCTTTAATGTGAACAATTTTGACTAAAATGTATTTTGAAACAGTACATGAGTTGGTGTGGCCTAAGACAGCGAAAACAATCAGTAGTGAAACGAAAATGAAATGGAAATAAATGATTTTGAAAGTATACTTAATATTCTTTAAGCAAATAAAACCTCCAGCTATAACTTTTCCAAATATTAACCGCTAAAAATGGCATAATTCAAAACAACTTAATTTAAAAAAATTAAATTTTTTAATTAAAAATTTAAAATGCTTTTCTGCTAAATTTAAAAAAGAATAAAAAGCATAAATTTCATTAAGAATGTTAGGTTATTTGAATAAGATCAAAACACACGAGGGTTATATGCTTAAGATGGATACCTTCGTGGAGCACTTTCTAAGGGAAACTGGCTTTTATTCATATTAAATACGGAGAAATTTACGAAACCAAACACGCAGCCAGCCCTTTCACTTGGTATTGAACCCAGGTCGCATTTCTAGTATTCAGAGGCCTTAGATATTTGTCAACTGGCGGGGCTTGATTAAACTGGCGGGGCTTGATTAAATTGGCGGGGCTTGATTTAATATATATTTTGTTTCATTAGAAACAATGTGAACTAAAAATGGCATAAGTTCTTACGTTACAGTATATGAGTTGAGAACTACATCAAATCTTTCATTACAAATAGTTTTAATATTGTTGTTATATAGCGTATTTAACTACAGAGAAGCATATTCCAAGAGACATTTATTGGACCAGTATTCCCGGAAATCTATTTAGAAACTTCGAATTT